GTAAAACGAAGTATAAAGGTCATACTAACAAAGCGTAAAGATGTGATGTGTCGACATCATTGTTAAAAATCAACTAACGAAGTGTGTGTGGAATCGTTCAGAGGAATGCCGAATGCGAAGCGTATCAAAGCACTGAATATGAACAATAACCTCTGAATGAATTAGCAATTTGTCGACACAACTTGACTTTATGACGAAGTAAGATTTGGAATAGCATTCGCATTAAGCATTCCTAATCCCGATAAAATCCTTAGAAAAGTTTTCTCGTCCAACGGTTTTGTGAAAATATCAGCCAGTTGATCAGTAGTTTTCACAAAATGAACATCAATGTTGTCTTCCTCAACATGATCTTTGATAAATTGGTCACGATGTGCAATGTGTTTTGTCTTCGAATGTTGCACTGGATTATGGCAGATGTGAATTTCACTTTGTAAAGCACAATACAACGAAATTTTCTGCATGGTGATTGCATAATCACGTATTTGGCTTTTAATCCATATGATTTGAGAAGTGCAAGCAGTAGCAACAACATATTCTGCTTCTGCTATGGAAATCGAAACACAAGTTTGCTTTTTTGATTGCCAGCTAACAAGCTTCCTATCCAAAAGATGACATCCTCCACTTGTGCATTTATGATTAAGTTGACTACCTCCCAAGTCTGCATCGGAAAATGCTTGAATGAAAAATCATGTTTTCGAAGGATACCACAATCCTAACGAAATTGTGCCTTTAAGATAACGAAAAATGGTTTTGATAGCTGTAAGATGTGGTTCCCTGGGATTTGATTGGTAACTAGCAGAATTGACACAACAAACATAATATCAGGTTGACTAGCCGTTAGGTATAGTAACAAACCTATCATGTCACAACTAGCATTTAGCTAAGAAATTCTAGTCCAATGTAACCATTCAAATATTGTAAAATATGCACTTTAAGTAAATCTCACTCAATGCTCGTTTAGATTTATCAATTATATTCATCAAAGAACCTGAAAATCCTAAGAATCCCGGTTGGAGTCCATATTGGACTAGGAGTTCCTTATTGGGCCTAGTGGACCAATAAGCATCCAATTCAACTACAGGCTACGGTTGTACACTAAATAGGTGCGAACAAATGAAATGTCTCACAAGAACCTTATTGTAACACACTATTTAATGTTTTTAAATAATGATATCGTGTATGAAATTTAGTTACAAAGCCCAATGTATATGTACATGAATAAATGAGGCCCAATAAGCATGAAATGAGTATACAATGTTCGTCGAACATGTAGATGGGTTAACAAGGCCCAAGAAACATGTAATGAGTATACAGGGCCTATTAGGCATGTAAATGGGTCACTATGGTCCAATAACATGTAATGAAAGTATAAGGCCTAATAAGCAAATGGACCCCGAAGGCCCAATAACATGAAAATGGGTATACAATGTCCAGTAAAAGTGAGAATGACGTAATTAGCCAATTTGTTATTATATTGTTTGTTTTAGCTTAAGTATTTACCAAAATGATATAACAGGCCCACTTTTTGTAAAAATTACATTCTTGGCCCATTAAGCCGAAAATTTACAATTAAGGCATATTTTTAGTAAAAATGACACTTTAGGCGCATTAAGACCGAAAATTTACATTTGTGGCCCAAAAATGACAAAGGACATGGGTTTTCGGCCCATAAGGTCCATAAAACAATGTGAGCCATTTTAGGCCCAATATGGCCCAAAATGTTATAGTTTAATGAATTTGGATCCAATAAAGTCCCAAATGAAGATTCTTATCCCAAAAGAATCAAGTTGTGAGTTTACTAGTCCATTAGGCCCAATAAGAGGATCCTAGCCCAAATCAAAGTTTGAACCAAGACATTAGGGTTGCAAACCCACAGTTGAGTGTATGAAATGTATTGTATTAAATTTTTGGGCTTCACGAGTGAGTTTTGATTCGAATAGTTGTTTTTGAATTGAATAACATGCATAACATCAAACTTTGAATTACAAGGTACATCGAGAGTTGATCATACCTAGATAGAATTTCTTAGCCAAAATAGCTAGTTGTGACACAACTCGACTCAACAGTGCATGTTGACCCAACTCATCGAGTGCATCAAAGCAACTCATCAAGTCCCCTTGTTTCCTCAGAAGCCTCATGAAAACCAACTCAACTCGCTGAGCTACAGCAAGCTCAGACTCGTCGGGATAAACCCTAACCGGCTCATCGAGTTAGCTCATTGACTCGTTGAGTCCTTTCAAACTCTTTTCTCATTCAGATGTTTTTAAGGCAGAAGAAACCCCAAACTCTAGATCTAACCTCCCAATGCTCGAATATCACATAAAGCCACAATCTTTACGTCCATGAATAGCACTTAGGGCTTGAAATGCCAAAAACATGATCCATTAAGGGTTTTTCACTCAAAAGCTCTACTATGGCTGAATAAAGTTGGGACCTTTGGACTCTTTGGACCTCACAAGGTCCAGATCTTAGGTTTCAACCTCAAGATATGCTCAAGGGACTCAATAACACAAGGTGGATGGGAGAAACACCTAAAAACTTCCCCAAACCAAGATATACACAAATGATGATCAAGTTAGCATCTTTTACCTCCAACAGAAGCTAACCACTGAAGAATCTCTGGATCCAAACGTCCCTCCTTGCACCAAGCCAAGATGCTCTCCAAATTTGCATAAGAACACCCAAAATAGTCTCTTTCTCTCTCACAATGGATGGAACCGATCTAGGGTTTCTCACAGGGCTCTCTTGAGATATGGGAGGCGGAAATGAGGGCTTAAGGCCCTTTAAATAGGACACAAACCCGAAAAATTAGGGTTTCTCCAAGCAGCTCCAACTCACTGAGTTGGTCTCTCTACTCGCCGAGTTGGTCACTAAACCCACATGGCCCAAAACGACTGCACTCGCCGAGTTGGGCATACAACTCGTCGAGTTGCTCTGCGAAGGAACATGAATTTCTCAAATATGATACCTGGAAATTTCAGGATTACATTATATTTATCATTTGTTTTTATAACTATTGAAGCTCTTGTATTAATAAAAGAGCTACAATAGTTATAAAACACATGCAAAATACAATTAATATGATTTTTGATTTTTGTTGATTTGTGGTAATGATTGTTTTAGGCCACATACATAATGAAGCTCTATTTATGAATTGTATTCACGTGATACGTTTATGGCTATAGTAATGATCACAAAAAAATCCCAAATTTATATAGGTTATTGTTATTGTGTTTTTTAATATATATATATATATATATATATATATATATATATATATATATATATATATATATATATATATATATATATATATATATATATATATATATTAGTCAAAGGGATGTCGGTATCTTTACTTTAAGTTGTTTAATAAGTAAATATAAGTTTTCTTCAAATAAATTTAGTATGTATAAATATAAAATCTCCAAAAAAAAGTTATTAAACTTTAACTTTATTAACCAAAAAATTATGCTTTTTTTTTGCAATTTAATCCTGAAAACCAGCACTAATCAGTTATAATGATTATTTTACAAATATTTACCGGTTTCAAATTGTTTGCACGAAAAGAAATTAGAAGTTTCTTTTTGAAAATAAAATAAAAATATAATAGTAGATTTCAGCTTAATTATGATCTTCACAACAACCATGAATACGTAGATCTAAGAAAGTCAAGCAATGTGATGAAACTGGTTAGTTCAAAGGTGTGCCGTTTAATGGGATCTAACTTACTACTTTTAGAAACCAAATTCGATGAATATTTGAGTCTAAAGACACTTGTCATTATGTGTATACTTACAAGTGTGCATATGGACTACAGGACTAGTTTCGCGGAAACTAGACCGGAAACAAATAATATTAAATAGTATGATCACCATAAACTATTCTTATCTCACATGAGACCGATTAAATTATAGTTTAGATGTGCTTTGGTTTTAAACAAGCCAGTGAAGCAAATATAAACTTGAGATTTTCTATTTTGAAAATATAATCAACTATAACATTTGATATTTAGTATATTTTAAGTTTTTAATAAAAATCAATTCGGTTTTCATATTCAAACAGTTTTTAAAAGAATCGAAACCCAATTTGTTAAAAAAAACTCTATAAACGATGACCAGTACTTTTATAACAAAGCGAGTTTATGAATTGTCAAGGTAGGTCACTTGACCTATCTTTTTTTTTAAAATTAAAGATAATGAAGTATCTTAAATCTTTTGGAAACAAAACATATGAATAAATTAAAATTTTTAAAGTTCATATTTCATATTATAATAATAATCTATCCAAGGTAGAGGTGCACAAACGTCGGTTTTAACCGAAATACGTTTATTTTAAAAACCGGTTTAATTTTTAACCGGTTTTTTTTTAGATTAGGAGAGTTTTAGTAACGATACAATTGTGAAATTATATCAATATTTAAGACTTTGTTTCGAATAATTGTAAAAACTTTAATTTTATTTTTTGCTTATACGACCCCTAACCACAAATAGTATTTTTTTTTATATATATATCAATTTCATTTAAATAACGAATCATTTAATTTTACGTTCTAGACTCGTCACTCTATGACTAACAAGAAGACCCAATATAGCCGGTTCCAACTTCCAATGCGTTTATGGCTATGTTTTCGGTTCCAAACCAAATATTAACTTACAAAGCCTAGTTTTAATTAAGTTTTAACTCGATTATTTTACCCCATTTAATTAATGATCTTCACAACCACCATGAATACATGATATAAGAAAATCAAGCAATATGATGATGGATAAAACTAAGTTCAAAGATATATCGTCTAGTCGAATCAAACTTGCTACTTTTAGAAACCATACTTGATGAACATTTGAATCTAAAGACACTTGTCATATTTACTTCCTACGTGCCCAAATACACCCACAAAGATGACATCCAATATCCCCAACATCACCGATCACCTCGTACTATAAATCACCCACCCAATCCCACCCCACCCCACCCCACCCCATCACCAACACAAAACAACACAACACAACACACAAAGCAAAAGACCAAATATGAAAAGAGCAGCTGTAGCAATGTTGGCAATGATCGCCATGGCTCTACTCATGGTGCACCAAACCGAAGCCATTAGTTGCGGTGACCTTGCTAACATGATCAGCCCATGTTTAGGGTACCTGCAATCAGGAGGCTCACCACCGAAGCAATGTTGTGATGGCGCCAGGAAGATTCAGGGTGCCACCCACAGCCAATCTGACAGGCGAACAGCTTGCAATTGTGCCAAAAGCGCCGCCGGACAGTTCAAGGTTAGACAGGATACCGCCTCTAGTCTGCCGAGCAAGTGTGGTATCTCCACCACCATTCCCATCAATCCTAACGTCAACTGTAACAGGTGAGTTTTGGATACTTGCGTGGAATAATGTTTGTTTAATTGGTTTGATGGTTAATGTATGAATAATTTTGTGACTGGATTTCTTTAATTAATGGTGCATGCAGCATTCCTTGAGGTGGTGGTTACATGAATAATAAATAATGGAGGAGCTACGACGTGGTGTGCATGGTGTATCGCCGCCGGAATAAATAAACGTGTGTAGTTGTTTCTTTGTTTTGTTTTATATGTTGTGTTGAGTCTTGTATTGTGTCTACATATAGGCTAGGTCATGCCCTCTATGGCCTTGCCTTGTTAAATAAAATTGTCGTATATTTCTGTCACGTTTATCATCTTACACCTTTTTATTTAAAATAATTGAAGACTAAGAGAATACATTAAATCTGAAAGGTTAATCTAAAGTAAAAATAAAAAAAAATACAACGAGATAAATAACATCACACATGATATACATATCGTTAGATATTCATTTTTTAAAATCATATTGTGTAATATAATGCAAATGTATAGTATGTTAGATGAAGACGCATTGTATTGTATGATGACAAAATGCGAGTGTTACACGCATATGTTGATATGTATTAGATGAAGACGTGGCTTTAGAACTTGAAGATGAAGATGAAAGCAAATATGTTGAGTCTGAACTTCATATCCTTAGACACCTAGTTCACTTAACCATGGCTTGGATAGCAACATGAATATAAAAATACACAAAAACAAAAAAATAAAAACTCATTTCAATCCATCATTTATACAAAATGGTGTACTTTCATAATAACGAAAAGATATCGAAGTAATATAATATTATCATGCATGCCATAATTATACCAACCAAGCAGTTGGCATATTCGAGTGTTGATATAAACTACATCAAACCTCCAAAAGACATCTTCTAAAGTCTAAACAACATGGCACCTATAAGATAATCTACTTCTTTTCTTTTGTCGCTTGAACCTACACTTGTAATTTATGTCGTATTAATGTATTGAAAATATAAGTTAGGGCTTAGGGTCCCATTTTGTAAAGAACCACACTTAACCCTAATCCGCTAATGTCGATTATTCCAATATTCCATACATTCTCAACTTCTCTTCTCGTTTTTGCATTTGCTCATACATCACACATCTCAAATTAAAACGACGATTACACTTCTGTTCTTCTTCCTTCCTTCTCCATTCTCCTGGGCTTGTACTTTAAACCTTTGATTGACTAGTTCTTTGTTCTCGATTCTAGTAGATATCTCCAATCTCGTTCTTGAACTGTTGAAGAGTGAAAGAAAGGTTGTCTGATTCGGTGATTCCTGTAGAGCTGATAGCTTATGCCTTATGTTCTTCTTTCTTATCTATTCTTGACTTCTCTAAAGACTCTGATGATTCAAGGTATCTTCTCTTCTCGTATCTATTAGGGTTAATTGCAGATTTTTCCATTATTCATTTTTGTTTTCACTTTATGCCTTCTATTCTCGGATTTTTCTGTTTGATTTTTGATTTTTGATTTTTGAGTTGGTATTTCCACTCATTTTTTTAGGAATATTATAGAATGTTAAAGGTTTCTAGCATAATTACAAGGTATTACAACTTACATGATACCTTAATATGTTTTTACTTGATGCCTTAATTTGTTTACGTCTTGTGTTTTTGTGTTTACTGAATTGACTGTAATTACTATAATCCTATAAGTTTGAGTTCTCATTTTAATTAAAAACTGCAAGTTTAAACCAAAAATTAAAAATAAAAAATATATATAAAAAATAAATAAATAAATCTTTACTTTTATATTTTTTCTATTATAGAATATAGAATCAAGGTTTGATCGAATTCGAGTTTTCCATTATATATCATCTATTCTCAAGCCAACGGGTATTTCTATTAATCCATAATCCATTACTTCAACTTTACAATTTATTCATTTGTAGGTGTGGTGGTGACTATTCATTGTTTTTATTAATCAAATAACTAATAATCATATTCAAGAGAAAATACGAGTCAAGAGCATGGATTGACTTACAGACTAAATAAAGTATAGTAAAGGCTAAAAGGCCCCAAATTTTTTATTCGTTTAGAGCCCCTAAATTGTTTGAGTCGCCGTTGTTAACAGTGGTAAGCTAACAAAAAGATAGGGGTGAGCATGGTGCGGTTTGGGGCGGTTTTTGATCAAAACCGAACCGAAAACCGCAACTTCGGTTTTTTGAAATTTAGAAACAGTACCGTTCTTTTTTATGCGGTTTTTCATTGCGGTTTTTTGTGGTTCGGTTTTTTTTCTAATTTTGCCTTTTTACTAAACCTCAAGTAACTCAGCGAGTTACTTTGACTCAAATGAGGAGTGGTAATCATTTATTGGAGATAAATCTATATCACAACCTATTGGTTTAAATTCAAATTACTTAACCACTCATTCAACATGTTTCTAATACTTCAATATAATGCGAATTTAATATAATATTTGTTTCACAAGTACATACGATAATATCAATTAATGTATTCATAAAAATGATACTATATCACTAATACTCTTCATATTTAAATGTTAAAAAAAATATCATAAACATTATTTGTTATTGTAAATACCACTGAATGTATGCTTAAAAATATACAATCATCCTCCGATAGATAAGATAGATATTTACGTTTATAGAAATTTTAATTGTCATAAGTTTTTTGGTTGTTACAAATATCAACACTTAATATATATATATATATATATATATATATATATATATATATATATATATATATATATATATATATATATATATATATATATATATATATGCGGTGCGGTTCGGTTTTTTGCGGTTTTTGCGAGACTAGAAACCGCACCGCACCGAGTATTTTCGGTTTTTGCAAAACTAAAAACCGCACCATCGGTTTTCATTTCGGTTTTGGTTTTTCGGTTTCGGTTTATATGGTTTTTTCGGTTTTTATGGTTTGCGGTTCGGTTTTTGCTCACCCCTACAAAAAGATATCAAAGTGATATAATATTTCAGTTCTCCTTCTCCCTTATCCCTTTACAGCTTTACCATTACCAAAATTTATCTGTGTTTTTTCCACGATCGCTCCTTTGGATTGATTGCTTAAGTTTAAACCCGCTTGGTTGCTTCCCAGCATCTGGTTTTATTGGTTTTGTTATTATTAATTTCTGATTTTGTGTTTTGTTTTGTGATTATTTAATGTTTTTGTTATTACTAATTTCTGTTTTGCTTTTCATTTTTCAGATTTAGATCAGTGATGACTTTGTATAAAAAGTCAAAAGTGAAATAATGTCCATTGTCAAAGTTATATTCTTAAAAGGTGTCATTTTGTGTGTGCTATTGGTTTGATTTGGGGTCTCACTTCGTATTATGTAAAATGTGAATCATGGTTAATTAGTTGGGTTATTTGGGTATCAAACTCTCATTATACATGAGTTACTACAATATATATTTCCATATTTCATTAAGTAAGGATGGGATCCATACACATCTCTATTTCAAGTCATGATTTGTCCAAAGTTCCTAAACAAGTCTCATCTTCCAAAATGTTTTTTGACTTTATTGTTAATTAGTGTTTTAGCTCATTGGTGATTATAGGTGTACTTTTCTCTCTATATCTTTGGGTGTATAGTATGTGCTTTGGTAATATATTATTCAACCAAACTTTGATAAAAAATTAAAAACATGAGAATAAAATCTGTCGGATTTTTCTTTCTTAAAACGTTCCACTTTTACAACCATTTTTCTCTCGTTACTTTTTAATTGCAAAACCGGATCAAATTATGCAATGCATAGAAACAAATCCCATAAATTATATAAATTTTCTTACCTAAGAAGAAAATAAGGATCGAAACGATCCCACCCAGCTTCATCCCCGGTCAACTCAGCGGTCAAACAACCAGCATTTTCACCCGATGATTCCTCATATAGTCTAACAACAGATAAAAACAAGTTATGAATGAGAGGGTTACCAAGGAACGGTTTAATTGCATCTCCAAGATCAACCATTTCTGACAAACTAAAACCGGAACCGGAATCGGAATTGGAATTGGAATTGGAATCGGAACCGATGTTGTTTGACTTTGACTTGAAAATACACCGTGACAAAGCGTAAACACCAAGAAGATTCGAATAAACCGGCAAAAACGCATCTTTATGGTTACCCAAACCGCCAATCCACTTCACCGCCTGCTTCCCGCCAAGGTCGCCGGAAACCACCATAAACCGCCGCAAGAATCTCCTCCGCCATTCATATAACAAATCCAAACCTCCGGACACCGAAAGCTTCTCCAAATGCAAACAACAAATCTGACAAATAAGCAACTTCTCTTCATGATGATTATCAATCTCCTTATCAAAAACACGTCTCACAAGATCCCCACGTGACACAACATTGTCTGAACCACTTAACACCCAATCACAAAGATAGTCAAAGTAGTTAACCCATTGACCAAAAACCGAAGTCAAATACTCAAAACTCGAGATTATCACTTTATCAACTTGGCTCGGGATTCCATATGTTTCCTTGGTGAAACATTTTTGAACATCGGTTGCCAATTTGCTTCTAAGAGAAACATCCTCATCTTCTAGAAGCTTTATACACACAGACCACAGATCAAGTGTTCTAGAAGCATACATGTTAATAATGGAAGTGTCTAGATCCCGATTAAAGTCAACATGTTGACCAATGAAGTCAACCGTTTGAAGTAACCCAGATGCGATTATCGATTCGGAAACCGCTTTCCGAATGTTAACAGGCTCTGACGCGTTTGAATGTAGTTTGACCAGGTCAACATAGTAGCTGATGCTATCATACACTTCATGGTTATTCTTCATGAACATGTTAGCAAACTGCCTTACACAAACTGCCATACAACATAGAATCGTTTCGCGGGTCTTCATGTGTCGGGTGAGTTTGTATAACGAAACTAGTTTTTCCCAGAAAAGGAGTACGGAACCGGAATCGGAATCAGTGATTCCCGGGAATCGTGATTCCGGAGATGACTTGTGGAAAGCGAAGAGTATTTTTAAAACGTAGTAAACGCATTTGTGATTCCTTTCCAAAGACAAAAGATTCACCATTTCCGTATGGAGATGGAGATTCATCCACTTGATCAAGATTCCGGAATTGGATTCCGATGATTTGAGAAACAGAAGAAGCCATTTGAACGTTGCGATTCGAACTTCGTAAGATGGATCGGAAAAACACCGGATTAATCGATCTTGAATCTGTGATTCTCGTCGGATCGAATTAAAATACGAAGTGGCAGCTTGTTTTCGGCATTCGGATATTGTTGGATCGAAATAAGGTAATCCAAAAGAAGCTTCCATATCCAAGCTTCTAGAAGATAAATTCGAAAGAAGATCACGAATTTTGCCAAAGCTTTTGCTTCCATCGCACGTTTTCGCAATGCTTAGCATGACATCAAGAACCCGTAAGAAACTCGTAACAATCGTCGGGCAGCTCGGGCGGGTTTCCGGGCAGGCGATGGAAGAACGTGTGACGAGGGTTTCAACTAACTCATCTAAAATCTGATCTTTTCTCTCGGAATCTATTAAGTTTCTGCAATTGATATCGAGAAGAGAGATTAGTTGTAGGAGTAAGCCGTGAATTGTGTTTGAAGAAATGGGATTTATTTTTGTTGTGGAAGGTGGTAGGTCGTTGACTGTGTTGACTAAAATGAGGGGGAGTTTTTCGTTTGAGATTAAACCGGTTAAAGCGCGTGAAGCGAGGACACGGACTCGAAGGTTGCTTTGAGTGGAGCATTTTCTGATGAAGGGGGTGAATAAAAAGGGGTCCAATTCGTCTCCTGATTCACTTGCGATTGTTGACGGCTTGAGCCGGGATAAGAGGATTAGCATGGGACATAGGCTTGGGTGCACGGCTTGAGCCAGGTCACGTGAGCCGGTGGTTAGCAGCTCAGTGGCGATTTTTAGTTCGCTGTATAAGAATGGATGCAATGATGGGTACCTTCACACACACCAAAAAAAAACATTAATAATTTTTTTAGTGAATTACGAAAATGGTCTGACAATTTTTTACTGGGTTTATTTAGTCATTAATTGATTCTGGTCCACGTGTCGTTTATTTTAATGACCCTTTTGCTAAATTTGTAAAATCACCATTTTGTTTTTTTTTTTGACCAAAACCAAAACCCTTGGCTTACCCTTACTTCTACCACTATTATAATTACCATTACTAATATTATGTTTGTTATATTGTAAATATTAATCATATAAACCTTAAAAATCCTACACATTTATATTTCAAAGTTTCCCAGTTTTTTACCTAAATCTATCAGAATTGATAATTTTGATTTAATTCAGCATATTAAATGACTTCATTTTCAAAATTATCATTTTTGATAAAAATGATATGGGTTAATCTCAAAAAAAAAAAAAAAACCTTATATTTTGTTTTTTTCGGATTAAAGCTCAAATTTATTTTTGCCTGAAAAAGAAAAACTTTTTTATTTTTTCCGAAAAAAGCCCTCAACTTTGTATTTTTTTTTCCAAAAAAAAACCTTCAACCTTCTAAATGCTTCCAAATAAACACTCAGCTTTTTTAGTTTTTCTCCAAAAAAAAAAAAACTTACAATTTACAACTTTTTTTTGGCAAAAAGTGACTAAAATGGCCAAATCGGTTACATTTTACAAGTTTTTTTGGCAAAAAATGACTAAAAGGGCCAAATCGGGAAAAAAGAAAAATACAAGGTTTTTTTAGGCAAAAAATAAACTCTAGGTTTAATCCGGAAAAAACACAAAATACAAGGTTTTTTTAGATTAATTTAGGTTATACATAACTAAAATATAACAAACATAATTAAAATGATAATAATACGAAATGGAAGAATAAAAATAACAATAAGAATGGAATTTCATCAGTTTCGGTGTAACAAAGGGTAAAATAGTAAAACATTAAAATACCTGTGGAAAAATTCAAGGCCAGTCAACGCGCGTCTGGCAGATTCACGTTTTTGCACATTAAGGAATCCAATCATTCGACGAACTAAAGCGGTATACGCAAGACACGCGCTATTTCTAACTTCCCAATAATTCGAAGAAAACGAGCGTATACAAATAATCATAGCCTCAGCAGAAAACCCAGAAGTATCAGTCGCAAGATTCGTATCATTAAACGCTGCTTTAAGAACATTGAACGCATGTACTGTTGGAATCACGCCTTCATCTCGGATCTTTGGGTCGGATCCAGATCCGTTTTGATTGGTTATGGATTTGTTGGATAGATCGATTAGCCAACGTAAGGCGCGTGGGAGGAGTCGCTTTGGTGTGCCTTCGGGTTCTGAGAGGAAAAAGGCGATGAATGCAGCGGGAATTCCCGCGCTTCTTCTTAGTAAGTCGTCTACTGTTTGTCCTTTGGCTATTGTTCTTTCCATTAGTTGTTCCATCCATGATTCCGGTAATTTGCTAAGTCTGGAATGTGAGGATGGAATTAGTTAGAACGATGGAATTAGGGAAGGAATGGAATGATGTGTAAAGGAATATGATTCCTTCTGTGATGGAATGAAGGAGGTGGGGGAATGGATCGGTGAATTTCATTTATCATGTTTGGTTTGGTTAAAGGAATGGAATGAGTCAATACAAAAGTGAATAAATGAATACAGAAAATATATATATATATATATATATATATATATATATATATATATGAAGGATTAATCTTGTAAAAGACCTTATAATCTGCGTTTTTTCCGGATTAGACCACAACTTTAACTTTTTTTCTGAAAAAAACCTTGGACTTTTTCATTTCTTTCAATCAGGCCCTTTTACTTTTTTTTTCAGGTTTTATGCAGAAAAGTCTCGTTATTTTGGAAAAAAATTTGATAAAGTCGTAAATGTATTTAAAATGTTAGATAATCAGGACTTTTATGTTCAAAAAAATTAGAACATTATTAAAAAAAATCCCAAATAATGGGACTTTTCTGCATAAAACCTTTTTTTTTCAAAAGCTCTTGTAAAATGCGAGAGCTTTATTCGGAAAAAACTAAAAAAGTTAGGGTTTTTTTCGGAAAAAAAATAAAAGACAAAATTGAGGGTTTTTTTCGGAAAAAATGAAAAAAATACAAAGTCTTTTTCAGGAAAAAAATAAACAAACTTGAGGTTTAATCCAGAAAAAACACAAAATATAACGTCTTTTATAAGATTAATCCTTTTATAAAAACAAAACTTTTTCGAATAAGAATATATAGCTAAATAAAATGCATATAAACGTATTTCATGTTGTTGTCAAAAAAAATTATCACTTCCAAAAAATTGTTAACAAAAAAAGTTGAATAAAACTGAAATCTTGAAATTGGAAAATTATAATTAAGAAATATTTTTCGTTATGTATAACAAAAAGTAACTTAACTGAAGTTTTAAAATATCATTGTTATTTAAGTTTTATATAAATAAAAAAGTAATTTATACTAGTAATAACATATAATTCCATTCCATCAAGGAATGAAAAGAAAACAACAATACTCCTCCATGGAAAGGAATCACATGCCATTAAGAATCCTCCATTCCATTCCTATGTAGGATTTTTTTCACTCCATTCCATTCTATCCAAAACAAACAGATACAATAATTCCAAAAACATACCTTGGATTATCTGAGCAAAGTAATCGATTGCATAAAGCAGTAAAACCTGCCCTAGTTTTATCAATTGCACCATTATGCTTCATTTTCATTAGAACTTCCAAAAAGTGATTCCCAATAGTCTCTAACTGATTGAAATCCAACACAACATCATCCCGAATCCCTTGATATATCTGATGTAGGCAAAGGAATTTTCCTTATAATAGTTCCCAAAAGAAGACTCACCTAAGAATCACATAACAAACAGCTTCATTAAAACTGATTACATGATATTTATTAAATACGGAAAATAGTATAAAAGTCACTATGTTTGCACCAAAATTATAATTTCACACTATTTTTTTGTCTCAAACTTGACATTGTGTTTTTTTCTAATTTTTTACAATTCTGACCATTTTACGGCCTGCTGACATGGCATGATGATGTGTCGGTGTTGATGACGTGGCATGCCGACGTGTTAAATTTGAATTTTTTTCCACAAAAGACACTAAGTTTTAATTTTTTTTTTCAATCTTGACACTATTTTTTTGTTCCAAACCGAACATCATTTTTTTCCAATTTAAAAAAAAAAACCTTGTAATTATACAAAAATGGGGTTTTTAAATGAAAAAAAAATTATATAAACGCTTTAAAATGTAATAAAAAATATATTTATACGGCTTCAAATGGAAAATGGTCAACATTGAGCAAAATTTTTACAAAAATGATGTTCAATGTGGAACAAAAAAAATAGAGTGTCAAAATTGAAACAAGAATTAAAACCGTGTCAAAATTGAAAAAAGTGAAAACTTAGTGTCTTTTGTGGACAAAAAAATCAATTTTAACTCGTCAGCATGGCACGTCATCAAAACCACATGCCATCATGCCACGTCAGCAGACAACCGAGTTGACCCGGTAAAATGGTCATAATTGTAACAAACTGGAAAACACAGTGTCAAATTTGAAACAAAAAAAAAGTGTCAAATTAGAAATTTGGTGTAAACTTAGTGACTTTTGCCCTATTTTCCCAATTAAATAACAAGTTTTAGATAATGAGTACTTGAGTATCAACTATTGTGAGTACCTCTTTCATTGCAAGCCAACAACCAACCATAACAACTTGATCAGAAGGTCCAACATCCTGCACCAATTTTGACCCATTCATTTCTTTCTCAGCATCCACATCAGCATCCACGTCAGCATTACCTTCCCCCCACATGTAAGAATCATCATCAACATCCACAAGGTCATCCTCATCCATGTCATCAGGTATATGCCACGCATCAGCCGAAACCACAGAAAGAGCCATTGAAGTAATTCTCATAATCAACTCAAGAAGCTTCTCAAACGCACACTTCATTCCACAAACATTATCACAACTCCAATCAAGCTCCTCAAAACCATAACGAAGTGTCAATAAAATCCCATGAACAAAGCTGTTCTTACACGCATCAGAAAGATCATGTTCTCCCATTTCAACAGCAGATTGCAACCAATCAATAAGACATGTCACATATTCCACAACAGGAGAATTAGAACAAGTTTTTGAATCATCATCATCAGAAGAAGAAGACAAAACAAGATTAGAAGATGTGTTCACAATCCATCCGAGGTCTAAAACGTATTTTCTAAAGATAAGTCTCATTGTTAATGATCCAGCATCACTTTCTCTAACACGAGGGCTATAAACTAACTTCTTAGCCCAGATAATTACATCTTTGACTTTTTCTGTGGTCAAAATTCCAGGAAGTGGAGTTGGAAAATTGAGAAGAATGCGAAAGGAATTCTCTCTTAAACGATCCCAGCTGTCAACAATTGATCCCACTAGCAATAAAGTTGATTCGGGTGATGTGAATTTCGCATCATATGGAGTTATGGTTTCAGAAGGGTGTTTTTGTAAAATCGGCCAAGTGTTGTTCATTATGAGGATAAGTTCCATTGCCATTATTTTCCTCTCGTATGGAGCTGAAGGGTAGCATGAGAAGAACAAGAAGGTGCTCAACCACTTCATGAAATGGAAAAGCTCTTCTGCTTTTTTGAAATTGGAATCTTTTTCTTCTTTATAAAGAATGTTCCCATTGTTAGGTTTCCATGTTCCTTGTTTGATTTGTCTCTCTAATGCGGTTTTAACACGTGAAAAGAATTTTCTAAACAAACTTGTTAACTTCATTTGAAAAGATGTTGAGGAGCATCTCATGTTTAATGGCATTGCTTCTTTCATCATGCTTAGCTCTAAAGAAGATGGAAGACTTGCTGTTTTAGGGTTTAAAAACAGGGATTCCACTGCATCTGTTCGAAGAGACTCATCAACATGAGTTAAAGCCAAGGTTAGCCAGTTCACAAGGACTTTGACCTTTATACCCTTTACACAGACAAGGGCGAATTCGTAATCTTTATTTGTTTCAGAACTCTCGAATCTATCGATATCTCCTTCTATCAAAGCAAGAGAACGTGAAACTTTGAGAAGTGAAACAAGAACAGCTACCTTTTGTTCAACTGTGAGATTCAGATTCATGTTTGAATCTGTAAAAGAGAGTAAAGTCTCTTCTTCTCCAATAGATATAAAAGAAAGCATTGAAAATATACTATCAACATCCACTTCAAGAATCACTGGAAACGCGTATGTGTTTAAATTTGACCTTAGCTTTGAGTTTCCGGAAGCAAGCCCGTGTAAAAACGGAGGCAAAAGGGCGTTTCTGTAATTTCTAGACCCGATTTCCACTCCATCACTACTCCAAAACTCATCACGCAAAGATTCAAGAAAACATTTCAAGAAAGTGGTGGAAGCACAACATACATCATCATCAACATACGCCCATGCTGTTTCAAACATCATATCAGGATTCATTTCTAAAATCGTTTTTGCTCCAAGTCTTTTTGTAAGAGAAGCTAATGGGACATATCTACCCTTGCAACGTCCACCCATTCGAAGAAGATTGGATGCGATCTTTCTTAAGAACAATTGGATTTTATCTTTTCCATTTGTTGAAGGGAGACTGGATTGTATGTCTAGATAGATATCAAAAATCAAATGAACTTGTTTCACAGTTTGGCTTAATGGATCTTCAAGATTGTTCCATATAATTCGTAATACACGGGCACCTATGTCATCTGAAATGGGATTATGATTCTTTGTGTCATCAATGTAAGTGGTTTGTATCAGAGTTTTTATCTGTTGCAGACAAATCTGCATCACTGTTAATGCATGAAAATTGAAGTGGCTATCGGTTGGATTCTCACAATATTTGCACAACTCAGGTAAGATGCCATTGTAAAGTATCGTTTCACAATCTTTAGAACCACATTCAAAAGGAGTATCGAGTAATGTTCTAGGGATTGAAGTTAGGATGCCTCTGATCAAACAGAGCCTACTGAGAAGAGAGAAACTCTGAATTTCTGAAAACAGATTCCCTTTGTATGGAATCTTCATGACAACAGTTTGAAATGAGATGCTGGGAGTTAAAGAATGATGAAAGATACCTTCCATAAGTGACAATCCAAGTTCTTCAGGACAGAGACACACTTGTAGAGCTGCACAAAAGCTCACCCCTGCAGCCACGAAGCAATCCCTTGAAAACGCTTCAGATTTCAAAATACTTAAAATGGTGGTGAGGATTGTCTCCATGATATTGGAATCATGTAATCCGATCAAACTGGTGAATCTCGAAGGACATCGCTGAAGCAAGTAATAGATACAAGATAAAGCCTCTTGGCATTGTTCCATAACGATTGGTGATGGTCTACACCAATCATTAGTCTCTAAAACGACACTTTTCAAACTGGAAACCACATCTAAACTCATGAGAATCGCACACTCTTCAACAACTTCCACTAGATACCCAAGTTTTGGGGAGCTCATCATCGACAGACCTACACGTGAAACACAAAACCTCTTCCTTTTTTCATTTCCATTCCCATTCAAGTCTGCATACTCTTCGCATAGAGATCGGAAGCAATCACCGATTACAGACTGGAAATCTCTAGTTTTCGCAAGAACAGAAACCAGAGTTCTGTGTAATGGTACAGAGTTTTCGAGGAACAGGATCTCGAGGTAGAATCTGGATGCTTGAGAAACAACGATTTCATTGCTGATTTTAAGTAGCTCTGTGAAAGCGGAGGCGAGTTTTTTAGCGTGACTGAGTTGTGCGTAGGTTGAGTTGAGAGAAACGAGTTCATTGAGTTGTGAGTAGAACACACGAGCAGACGCATCATGGTCTTGAGATACAGACAAGTTAATGAAGTCGTTGAGACTTTGCTTGTAGTATTGAGGAAAGACGATTGCGCTGTAAGTGTAGCGATGACGATGCTGTAAAGCTCGCCATTTCGCAGACATGGTAGAGTCACTTGAAATAAGTATAGGAGGTTTAGGGTTTAAGCTGATACTGATGGAAACGTCAACAATGGCAACCTGCAAGTGCGAAAGTTCCGGCAGGCTTAGCGCAGCCTTCTTTCTCTCTCCCTGCGGCGGCGAGAGGTACGGAGAGGCGAGCTTGATTTTGCAAAGAAGGATACGGCGGGTTTTCAGAGATTTTAGGGTAATTTTTGCTTTATTTTGAGGCACCAACTTAAATTTACGGAAATGTTCATAAAAGAACCAACATTTCAAAATTTTAAGTTATAAGATTGAGATAATGACACTCTATTTTATTGAATTTTCGGGTTTTGGTTATTTTTTGGTTTTATGTGGCATAAAGAATTTTTAGGTTTCGGTTTAAAAGATGAGAAGTTATTTTTTGGTTTTTTTGAGACATAAAATACATGTTGACCTTTATTTATTTTTTTTGTCACTCATACTTAATATAATCGGTTTCATAAGATTGATTCCAACAAAAATTCATTAAAAATTGAAACTCGCATTTAGGCCCTTCATCGAAAACAGCAACTCGACTCATTAGATAAACCTTCAACCAATTTCGGTCCCTTTTCATCTCACTGAAAACCATCGAAACTTTAAATCCTTCATTTAAATTAGAAACAACAATTTCGATTCACTTCACCCATCGAATTGACAGGGCATTATTTTTGCAATCAAAATTTAATCCTTTATGGAAACAGCTTCGAAAATCCATCAACACAAAATTCCATCCATCTTCATTTTTAACATAACAATTTCAAGGCTCCATTTCGATTAAAGTAATGTTACCTATCAAAACTTCATTTAATCGAAATCAATGTAAGCATCAAAATGAGTAGTATTTGAGTATGACTTATGACTTTTATTTTTGTTTGTAGTTTGTATGGTAACCTTTGTGTAACACATGATCCATGTATTATTCATTTTTGGTCCCTTATATATTAAGTCATTGCTTTTTGGCCTTGTTTTGCAAGTTTATAGGATATTAGGGGCCATGCTTGCCAAGTCTGGAGTTTTGGAGGCGGAGCTCGAACACAAGGCTTTCACACGTAGAGCTCAAACCCCAATTTTTTAGGGTTTATGACCTATTTTACACCTTAAGTCCCAGGTGTTGGCATCATTTCCAGCCGTCATAGCCTCAAGCCCTAAACCTCGACCCTTAGAGCCTCCTTGTGTGCTGTGAGCTCATTGTGTGTGTTTGGTGTGTGGATTAATCTCATTCAAGGAATAAAAACTTGGTGTAAGGTGGTGGTTCAAGTTGGAGCTTCTAGATATTGGTTCTCTGCTCCATTTCTAGCACATCTAAGGTATAAAGCTCAAACATTGCTCACTGGAAGCTTAAATCTAAGTTTTTATGGATTTTGGTGCCATTTTGGTCCCATGGTTGAGATCTTGAAGTTCTGATCACTCCGGAAGCTTTGAGTTGGTTCTCTTGGTGTTTTTGATGTTTTAGATTCAGAAAGTTTGCATCTTTAGAGTTGTAAAAGTCTCATGCATGAGATTAAGCCATTTTTATGGAAGTAGGATGCTATACCTTGAAGTTGGGACCTTTTGGGCCATGAAAAGTCACCAAGTTAGTGACTTTATGGTTCTAGATGATCTTTGGGTCTTAGATTTAGTTCTGATCGTGTAGCTTAAAGCATTAAGTGCTTAATAAGCACTTTTGGGCTTCAGGGTGCGAACGCCCAGCGCTGGGTCGAGGAACCCCCAGCGTTCAGGCTTGGGCTTACAATCTATTAGTTGTTGATGAACGTCCAACGTTCCACAAGGGAACGCCTAGAATTCGATCAACACTGGGATTTCTTTTGGGTCATCTAATTGGACCTTGTGGCTTTGGGCTTTAATGGACCATATGAAATTAGGTTTTAGGTTATGTTTATGTTGGGCTTTAAGGTAAAGCCCATTAGAGGAACTTGGGCCCAATTTGGAAATTAGGCCATAAGTGGGTCATTGGTGGGTTTTGGAAGATTATCTAGTGATGGACCTTTATGTTATGATTTTAGGCCTTAATCGTTAGCCAACTTAAGCCAGGGGTAAAATGGTCATTTTACCCTATGATGGATTATTGGATCGTGATTGATTTGTATTTTTGCATTGATAGCTCGGGAGTTGTTTGCGTAGCATCTAGAGATTTCTTTCTAAGATTTTCAACTTTTTCGATGTGAGTTTTCCTCACCTAGTTTAGCGGGTCGAAGGCACCAATGGTGGCCCATGTATATGTTATGTTGTTAGTATGCTAGTTGTCTTTGTGACTTGCATGTGCCTGTATTTATATGTTTTCCGGGCTAAGGCCCAATGTCGGGCGGGGCCTAATGAATATTTGTATGTTATGTATTTATGTGACTATTACATGTGTATGTGTTTAATTGATATATGTTATTGTATGTTGGGTGGGCCCTTTTTACCGAGCTCAAATCTATGTCAGTTGGGGTCCGATGCCGAGCAGGGCCCGATGAAGGGTGGGGCCCACTATCTGTTTATTGTATGTTTGTTATGTGGTATTTTGGGGGAACTCACTAATCTTTGTGCTTATCGTTTTCAGTTTATGTTTTCAGGTACTTCTGGTAGTAAAGGGAAGAGCTCGGGATGACTGCATCACACACACTATTGAGATTCCGCTTTTGATGTTTTACTCTGATTTTATGACATTTGATACATTGGTTTTTATGTGAATGTTTGGATGATATTGGAAAAATACTATTTTATCTATTATTAACAAATGAAAGTTTTGGGACCATATTTTTGGATGTTACAAGTTCGTATCAGAGTCTTGGTTTGAGGGATTCGAGCACACTCTCGAGTGTGTCTAAACTCAAACTAAGGACTTGGTAGAAATTAAAAAAAAACATTTTTATAAAAAGAATTTCTAAAAGAGGAAAAGGGCATGGTGCATGCAATCAGCCGAGCTTAAGTAAGTTATCCCAAAATACCCATACATGTTATGATATGTTGTGAATTGTGAATCTGTGAATCGTATGCTAGATTAAGGTTAAGGATCTAGGAGAGATGCCTTTATATGCCTACTTTTTGAGCTTATAGATTTGCATGCTAGTGTTGATCAGTCAGCAATAGGATTGGCTGATTAGGTTATGCTCTATTCTAGTTACTTAATGCTCGAATGATACTTGCTTTGTGCTTTTAGGAGTTCTTGCTAGTTTTAGCTAGTTAGTAAGTGAATATGTTAAGTTACATGTTATGAAAACTAAATAGTTTCAGAAGGTTAGGTTTAACTCTATTGCATAGCTCTTTTTTGAGTCTAGCTGTTGTAGTGAGAGACCTCTCATTCAAAAAGTTAT